TGTTCTCTCCTCCTGTGTTTGGAGAGCCAGCCTTTGGGTTCGTAGGGGCCAGGACAGCAATTAGACATCCCAAGTTTAGCACCGAAAACACTGGGAAGCCCTTCTTCGGAACTGAAAGACCTTGGTGTTTTGGCAGTGTGTATAAAATATTGGAAGAAAAGTACAAAACCTGTTTTGGAGGCTGGAAGCAGCACTGTCTGGTGTCAAGCGCGGATCAGAGCTTACCCACTTTCTGTATCCACTTTGCTGTTCTGTTTTCCTCTGATGTTGGCTACCATGGTTCACAGTTCCTGATCATGGTTATCTGTCCATTATTGCATAACTCAGTGATGTGATTTAAATGTACTGTAATTCATAGTGATGGTTCTGTCTTTGACTTTGCTTGGGGATTAACTTTTGTGATTTTTTTTTTCTTTGCACAGAGCTTTTTTTTTTTTTGAGACAGGATCTCACTAAGTTATTAAATTATCCACACTGGGTTCAAATTTGTGATCCTCCTACCTTGGCCTCCAATGTGCTGTGATTTCACGACGTTGTAAATATTGTGATCATCTTTTACTTATTTTTCTGTATGACAATATTTTTAAAAAACTCAGATAATGAAAATGAGGTCAGATTACCCCAATGCAGACATGACCCCATCATTGAAAAACAAAGCTAAAAGACTGTGCTATTTTAATAACAATGGAAAAGTACATACAACTTGTTTAGAGAGGTAAATAACCAAACAGAGCATACTACACAATATGCATAAAGGAATTTACAGTTGGTCATGGGGGAGAGGGGATATAGAAACATAAGGAGCATGAATTTCAACATCAAGGACAAAACAGCAAAGTTCTAAGTCAATAAGGAGTTTTGCTTTCTGAAAAGACACCAGGGTTGAGTCAAAACTAGTTACTGGACTGGCATGGGGCAAGTCACATAAACAAGCATTATCCTCTTAGTCTCTTGACTGTTCTGTGCAACTGAATAGTTACATGTTCTAATTCAGAGGTTGCAACTAAAATATCCTCAGATGAGCAAAAGGAGAATTTCTGCTAACAGGTACGTTGGCTTCTTGCCGTGTAGAGCTGATCCTGTCACATCTCACCAACAAGCATGCTTTCTACCATACGGTTTTACATGATACACTGAAGTGGAGCAACAAAACCTTTCCTGTAGCTCTTGGCTACTTCGACTTGAAAAGTGAAAATTTTTTTCAGTAATTATCTTGGTTTTTAAAAACCATCAAACTGGTTTTATTTTTGTCATGGACACATGCATGACATTGAAATTTGTCATTGTTTGGTTTGTTTCTTTTTTGTTTGTTTGAGACACTCTCGCTTATGTAGCCCAAGCTGGCCTCAAACTCATGGCAATCCTCCTGCCTCAATCTCCTGAGAGCTGGGATTATAGAAATGTACCACCACACCCAGTTTCTTTGTTTGGTTTCTTAAATGTTATGTAAGTGTGCGTTAAAGTATTTGTTTACATTTAAGAAGCGTTCTGTAAGCATAATTCTTTCTCAATATACTTTCCTATTTTGTTTCATACATAACCTAATCTAAAAAAATCATTTTTAAAAAACCACTCTTTGTTTTTATTAAGACAGAGTCTCACTCTGAAGTTCAGGCTGGCCTTGAACTCACTGTGCAGGCTAGGATGTCCTTGAACACATAGTACCCTCCTGCCTCAGCCTCCTGAGTGCTGGGATTACAGGCGTGGGCCAGCACACCTGGATAAGCCATCGACTCTTGAGATGTAGACTTGCACACAAAATTGGGGGTTGAGGAGATGTTCTCCTTGATTGTATAAATACCATTTTGTGTTTATTATCCATCAAGTGCTTCTCACAAACTCTCACTGTCTCCCAAATTGTTTTGCCAAATTAAACTGAGGTCTCTCAATTAAACTGAGAGAGACCTCTCAGTTTAATTGATAAAGATGCAGATAACATGACTATTTAAGGGCTGGGGGTTTAGCTCAGTGGCACCTGGCAGATGCAAGATCGTGAATTTGATTCTTGGTACCACCCCCCAAAAAAGATTGTTAAATATTGTTGAGTCCTACTGAAACAGTTTAGCTATGTCAACAAAAAAACATTTCAGAAGAGTGAATTCTTGACCATCAATATATGACATCTGACATCTAACAAAATTTTAAACTTAAGAAATAGTAAAATATGATTAAATTCACATTAGCCTTACAAAAAATTACAGAAATTCTTTTGGGGAATCAGAACCAATTCTATCCTAAACTTTCTAAAACTTATTTTTGAATCATCACTTTGAGTTAAAACTTAAATACAAAAGAATTTTACAGTGTCATAATTCCCAACACAGATTTCATTGGTTTTTGTTTAATGACTGCAACACTTCAGAAAATATATATCTATTGAAACATACCACCTACCTAGTGATTTAATAAAAAGCCACTCAAGATTATTTAGATAAACATTCTAGTTACTTTTCTGTAATAAAAGTAAAAAGATTTTACATGTTGGATGCATTTTACATTATAAATTATAAGTATATATAGGCTATAAAACTTAGAATTTTCAATCAATTTTATTTTAATTATGCAAACTACAAATAATACTAAGCTCAGTGCTGTCGTTACTTCCAAAATTTAAGTTTCTAGTTTTATTTTTATTCAGTACAAAAATGATCTTGCTCACACTATTGAACTGCTTAAAACTTTAGACATACATAACTCTTGGTTAAAGAACATATTACAAGAAATGTTTTCTATGTTCATATTTTTTAATGAACTAATTAATTTTGTTTATTTATTTTTGAGACAGGGTCTTGCTCTGTAATTCAGTCTGGTCTTAAACTTACTACATAGCCCAGGCTAGCTTTTGTTGTTGTTTGTTTATTTATGAAAAAAGTAAAACAAAATTTCATAACAAAATAAGCGAATAACAATAGTTAATACGTTGCATATTGTTATCTTTAAAGTAGTTACTCACAATACAAGATATGGGCACAAAAATTCTCCAATATTAGCACAAACCTTTTTTAATGAACTAATAGACAGTAGTCATATGACTATCTTGCATTTTTTCCTCTTTCCCTCACCCTGTTCCTTTTTCCCTTTGAACAATTTCGCCCCATTTCACAATATCTGACCTTATTTATTCTTTCAGTTTCTTACATCAGGGAGACAATATGATGTTTACACATGTGAGTCTGATTTATTTCATTTATGAGTATGGTCTCAAATTGCATCCATTTACCTAATATCTGTATTCTTATTTTAAAAACAAGTTTCTGGTATATGCAATCTAAATCAAAATTCACAAATCATAGCTGCAATCTTGTCAACTTTCTGCTTAATAGGGTGTAAATCCAGTGTAATGCAGAAGTAATTCAAAATTAAACATAATAGCACTATCAACAAGTCATAACTACTACATATCACCACTACTGGCTTCCGCTGTACTTCAGCCAGGCACAGCAGATGTGAACATCTGATGAACGCACTGCTTTGAAAATTAAAGCTGCAAATAAAGAATGCATAAATATGAACACAGCAATACCAACTTCTCTCTGTAAGGCATCTTCCACTGATTGATAAAGTTTTATAATTCATGTTTTACTTATGTTTGCTTTGCTCTGCTCTGAGACATGTTCTTGCTGTGTATCCCAGGCTGGCCCTGAACTGCCTCAGCCTCCTGAGTGCTGGGATTATAAGGATGTGCCACAGCCCCCAGGTATCATCCTTTTTAAAAGGAAATATTTTCTACATTGTCACATGCAGTAATTTCACTGTACATTCTTGACTATACCATAGTCTTCAAATTCTCTTACAGAGTTTGGCATATCAATTCCTCTAGAAAGTCAGCCTGTCGTATTTTTACTAGTGTTTAGTGCTTCAGTGGCCTTTTTCACTGTTTAAAATTTTTTAATAGTACATATTTTCCATACATAGCAATTCCATTTGTCATAGGGAATTCGTACGTGTCATGTCTTAATTCTTCTATTTTCCCCATTTCCCTCCTTTCCCTTAAACTGTTCTCCTCCACACTTACAAATCCTTATTTCCATTTTTTCCTTTCCATTCTTTTTAATCCCTTTTCCCTTCTTCCACATCTCCTTCCCATTTGAACATCTTACTTTACAATATCCATCCTCCATTTTTCTTCTTACTCTTTGGGTTTCTCATACAAAAGAAACAATGTGGTATTTAAACTTGTGTGTCTTATTTCATTTAACGTCATGGTCTCAAGGTGCGTCTATTTACCTAAAAATCAGCCAAGTTTATTCTCTATGGCAGAGTAGTACTCCATTGTATAAAAAAACACATTTTCTTTAAAATTCACAAGATTTAACGTGTCATAGGGTTCGTTCTTTGCTTTTTGTATTCTGGGGAATCCTGATATTCTTAGCCCCACAAAATCTCAAGGCTGCTTGACTCCTTCAGATTCCTCAAGGACTGTTGTATAAGACAGTGGGCATTACGTATTTATTGTCAGCCTAAAGCTAAGTCGAGATGAGACTGTCGGGTTCGTTCGTGGGAACAGATTATCCTGCAATAGACAAGATTTAAAGTACTTTCCAACTCTCAACTAGCATTTTTCCTAGATACCAAAGTCTAACCGTCCCTGGCTTGAAATGTAAAACCCATAATCTTGATTTCCCAGTCACAGCTGCAGGATCCGGTAGTGTCATTAAGGGTCCTGGGGCTTCAAACCCAGACAAAGCTGGGTTCTGCTTTGGGGTATCTTAGGCATTTCACCTCTTCAAACTTTCAGTGGTTCCTCCACTGAAAATGGGAATCATCTGCTAGACTTTATGTAAAATGCTTGGGTTAGAAGTCTTCTCATGAAGCTGGGGTTGCAGCTCAGTGGTAGAACATGTCACAGGATGCAGGAGGGGCCAGGTAAGATCCCCAGGACTGAGGATGGCTAAGGGACAAAACCTGTGAACACTTCTCCCCTTGTAGGATCCTTGTTACACCCTGCTATTCCGGCAGGGGGCAGCAGACGTCAGCCCCTGGTTCTGGGGTGGGGCGAGAGCAGGGGAGGCACTGCGCAAGCGCACAGCCAAGAAGCGGGGCCAGGTCGACGTGGGAGGGGCGCGGAGCTGGACCTCCTGCCGCAGGCTTCCGGGCTTCGGGCACCCCGCTTTTACTTTGGTAGGCCCCGACTTACCTTTCCAGCCGCGGGGAGGGTTCAGCGCTGCGGGTGAGCTGTGCGTGCCCACAGTCGGATTTTCCAGCAAAGGCACAGAATATGAAAGGGCGTTTGCTGAGCGTGACCCCCCCCCCATCGCTTCTTTCCTGGGAATGTCCTGAAGTCTGCCTTTTCCTGGCTGTAAATCGTCGCCCATCCTGCCTTCTACCCTGCTGCAACTGGGGTGTTTGTGAGGGTGGTGCGGTGGGGTCATGGACTATGGCACAAATGCCTGGTAGGGTTTTAGCTTTTCCAGCAGGCACTTCAAACTCCCCTCGAAACTGCCTTCCGAGCTCAGGGAGTAGGTCATTGTTGTACTGTTAGCGTGTGGACGTGCTTTGGCTATAGCAACATACACAAAATTTCTTTAATTGTTTGAATTTAGTTGTTTGATGCTGGGGCCCAGGCGTGGCTGGTAAATCATTTTGCTGCCTTTTACCCAAGATGTTTACAAACGGAGCGGAGCAGGTGATGGGCTCGCCGCCCTGCCGGCCCATCCTTTTTCATCCCTGTGCCTGACATGTGCGCTTTCTGGCCAGGCCAGATGGCCTCGCCATGGAAAAAGGGAAAGAGGTTAATTGCTTTTCGTCTGAGTTTCTCTGCAAAAATAGAAAGTTTTTGCAAGCGTTGGGAGTCTCCCAGTCAGTTCACTAAGGATGTTAGAGAGCTATTTGGTTCCTAGCAACGCAACCTCACGTCAGGAAGCTTCCTTGGATCTCTCACCCACTAACTTGGAATATCCTTAGCACTGACCCATGCAGGGAGTGTGTTTGGAGCTGGGAGGACAAAGGTGAACTGAGCCTGAGTTTGCCTTCAGGGGCTGACTGGCTAAGAGGGAGAATCCCAACGTGAGTAGCTCTACCTCCAGGTAAAGGGAATGTGTCCCCAAGAGAGGTCACTCAGTGGATGGACAGGAAATCTGCCTTTCATCTTTCTCAGTATTGGGAGAAAATTAAGTCCCCCAAATAACGTGAGGTTGAATCACCATCTGGGGAGCCTCAGATCCTTAAGGAAAGATGTTTTCCTGACTTCCTGGACACCTCCTCTCCCTCTACCACACACCTGCCTCTGTCCCAGGGACCAGTGGCAGGGCTGTCCCTACCTCTCCTAATGGCCCTTCCAAGCCAAAGGCTAAGAGCTATATCATTTCCGATTCGTCCCCACCCCTTAATCCCCACATCCAGGCCTGTTGATTCCCCATCCCTGAAGCTCTGAGTTCACTCAGGTTGTTCTAACCTGATCGCCAGCATGCTAGGCAAGGCTCCTGCCCGGAGCTAATTCATCTTCCCCCGCTGCAGCCAGGATGTGTTGCAGGAATTTAAATCTGAGTGTGAGGCTCACCTCGCTAACCTCACACTGCTCTCAGGACAGAAGCCAGGCTTCAGAGTGTGCAGCCCCTGTATTTCTCTCCTGACCCTCTCTTCATGACTTCCCTAGATTTGTTTTCATCTTGAAAATGTGACCTGCTTTCTCATGGCAAAAGGCCCCGTGCACACTGCTTCTTCGTGGCACATGGCTTCACTCCTCCCAGTCCTGCTTTCCCTCAGGTCACAGCTGGGACCCTGCTTCCCTGGCCATCGGTCCTCAGGCATCTCACGAGGCTCACTCAGCATCTGCCTCCTCCTGCTACGGTGCTGTGCATAGGTTCTGTGAGACCAAGGTCAGGTCCAAGGGCTTTTCTTGGCTTCTTACAGTATTTACAAAGAAGATGCTCAGTAAATGTCATTAAATAGAAATGAGTTTAAATGTCAGTTGTGATATGGTGTGATTCACTGAGTTCCTGACTCACAAATTCACCCTACCTCTGTTTCTCAGTGTGCTGAAATAGAAATGGCCTGACCTACATCAAGCCTAAATATAGGTGAAAGAGAAGGTAATTGTTATTATTGGAGCAGCAAGTGCACATGAAACTTGCCTGCAGCTGAAATCTTGGCAGTGCTGTGTGACTTTGGTGCATTGCCTGCCTTGTCTGTGCCTCAGTTTCATCACCTGAAAAAAGGGGGATAGAAAAGATAGCAGTAATTTTACCGTGTCATGAGGTGATGATTATGAGGCGCTACATATAAAGCCTTAGCACGGTGCCTATTTCCTGGTAATTGATGACCCACATTATCATCCTCGTTACTGTAACTACTTGTTTATCCATCATGCAGTCAATAGATGGTGTTGATCCAGCTCCTTCCTCCACGTTAGGTTCCGCATCGCCACCTCTGAGGTACAGATTAGCTCCTCTGTGTTCTTCATGTTCTCAGACTTCTTTTCCTCCTCAGACCCTTCCTCACAGGAAGTTGTCCTGACTCTCTGAAGTGAGCTCAGCACCTCTTTTCTGTTATAGTTACTACAGAGAGTAAAATCCTGGTTAATCAGTTGAGCAGTGAAAAAATTAAATAAACAATACACAAGAAATCTCATATATACCAAGATAATTTTCAGAACTAAGCACTTCCAGCTTGGTGGTAAACACTTCTAATTCCAGTACTTGGCAGGCTGAAGCAGGAGGGTCCCCATAAGTTCGCCAGTTTGGCCTGCATAGTGAACTCAAGGACAGCCTGAGGTACATGGTAAGCCCCATCTCAAAAAAAATGACAAAAATGCCTCAAGGAACTTTGATTTATTTATTTGTTTATTGGTACCAAGGATCAAATTCACAACCTCATGCTTACCAGGCAAGTGCTTGAGCCACTGAGCTAAATCCTGGCCCCCCCAAATTGTCTGTTTTTTGGTACTGGGAATCAAACTCATGACTTCGTGTTTGCCAGGCTGTGCTGTGCCACTGAGCTGTATCACCTCAGAGACTTGAGACTCCTCCATTGGCCTCACCTAGGAGGGACGTGGTGACGGAAGAGGTGGGGCTGGAGGAGCAGCAGCCTGTGTGGACTCCTCAGGCCTGTGGCCAGCACGCTCCCTGCTGTGTTTGAGAGTCGGGGCAGGACTTTACTGAAACTTCTTACCAGTGTGGAGCCTGCTGTTGGGGCGTACACACAGCAAGATTCACTGCCATTAATCAATGACTGATTGCCAGGACTTCTTTTAGTGATGCCATTAAGCGTGAATGTCTGCATCACTGCAGGAGAGCTGCCACAGCGGAGCAAATGACAGAGCAGATGCTTAGTGAGTCCTTCTTTCATTACTGAGCATTACCCCTTTTTGGTTCTTCAGTAAGAAACGAATGAAAGAATGAATATCTGCACAAATGTGAAAGTATTATAAGATAGAGTTACAGAAGTCAGAGAATTAGGAAGAGAAAGAAGCCATTTGCTGCAGACTAGAATGCCGGAGCGGGCTGAGTGCTAAGGAGAAGGGGGCTCCTTGCTAAGGGCGGAAGTCAGGGAGAAGCTTTAGAGGGCGGGGGTTGCAGAGGGTCGTGGGGTGTGAGGTGGAGAGAAGGAGGACCCTGCAGGCACAGAGGTGCAGCGTGAAGATGGAGTGTCAGGGCCCAGGGCCCAGGGAGGGGAGACCCAGCCAGCCGGGCAGAAGTCTGGGGTGAACGGGACACCTCTTTTCAGTTCCTCTGCATCAGTTCATTACTGGTTACTGCAGGGAATAAAAACCTGGTTAACCTGACTGATGAGCAGCTGCCTGAGCGTAAGAAAGATGGGAGGACACTTTGAGAGAGGTGAAGGCTGAGCTCCCTTCTTTAACTTCTATAATTCTGTGGAATACCTATCGCTTTTTTGTTTTCAAATTCATTGTATTTGAAGTAGAAAAAAGAAAAACAAAATTTCAAAACACGTCAATCAGGAGGCAACGATGCATTGCACATTGTCATCCCCAAATCATTCACCCAGAGCACAGGACATCTGCATTCAGTTGTCTGGACATACCAGCACAGATCTTTCTCATCAGTGAACTCAGAGAAATCAGTAGTGTAACTATCTTAACTGTTCCTGTGGCTGTTACTGTATGCACACTGCTTGTATTCTGTGTATTTATCCCTTTTCCCTTTAGAACTGCAGCCTCACCAATGGACCTGATCGGTTTTGGTTATGCAGCCTTTGTGACATTTGGAAGCATTTTGGGATACAAGCGGAGAGGTAAGCCTAAAGCAGAATTCTAGTTAGAGGGACTTTGTGGGGAGCTCAAAGCTGTGCTCAGGTCGTATGAGGACCTATAAGTGGGACAAGAAGCCAGAGATGCGTTGCAGATGGCTAAAGACTGGCTTGTCATGGTGGGATTTGTAGAGGAAGGGTTACACGGGGCTGAGTGTGACAGCCTTCCTAGCTGGGGCTTCTAGGCTCTGTCTGCCGTAGACTAATTTAACCTGAAATTATGAATTGCATAACTGCTTTACTTTTCAGGGCCACTCATTATTAAATAAGGGTTGCTTTTGTGTGCATAGTGTGTAAAAATACTGAGTTATACTGGTACTGTTGGTCAATACACTACTTAGATAGTATATCCATGTTTCATAGTCTGTTTTAAAGAGGACTGTTTAAAATCCTGATAAGGTTATTGGTGAAAATTATTTTTTGTCAAAAACATGTCTAAATAACGTGTATTACAGAACAGGAAAGAATAGTTCTGCCTTTTTGAAGGCTATGAGCAAGGTTGTGCGCTTGTGCGGGCACATATGTGTGTGTGTGCCTATATTGGCTGGCTGGCTGAATTTCCCGTGATATCAAAAAAAAGTAATAAAATAAAAATACCATGCTCGTACCCTCAGAGTTTCTAATCTAATAGATTTTAAATCAGAGGATCACTGTGAAGCAGTGACTCCATGTCACGTCACTGCTATGTCGCTCACAGTCCAGGGCCCAGGCAGTGCTTAGCATGTGTGCCTGGGGTCGGTGGCTTGGAGCTGGCTGGCTGGGGCTGGTGCTGGATCACCCCTCGTCTCCATAAGCCTCTTCTAGTCCTGGAGTCCTACATCGTGAGGCTTGAAGGTCCGTTAATTACGTAGCACCGAAGCAGCCCTTGCTTTGTGAGGCACGTGGCTTTTTACCATCAGCTACCAATGCCGTTGGTTCTCATCAACGTCATCACAACCTCCTAGTAAAAAGATTAAGCCAAAGTGAAGAAGAGCACACAAATGAACAGAAAGTAGCACCAAAAAGTCAACCGATTGCCCAGGATCAGGTAGAGTCAAAGCCGCTGTCACCGGCAGGGTTTCTTCCTCGTCCATGTGATTCCTGCCCAAGCACCGTGATGTGGCTGTTTCTCTGCTTTGCATTAGGGGTTCAACACAAAACAGTCAGTTCTTAGACACTATCGATGCAGAGGTCCATCTTTATTTTGGTGTTAAGTACTGATGTCCACTTGGAAGGACACTGGAAGGTGCGTGTGTTATTCGTGCAGTGGGGGATGAACTGCCTTTATTTTGGGACTCTCTTTATAAGCCTGTACTTTCTTCCCCAAGGTGGCGTTCCATCTTTCATTGGTGGTCTTTTTGTTGGATTTTTGGCTGCCTATGGAGCTTACCGGGTATCCAATGACAAACGAGATGTTAAACTGTCACTGTGTAAGTAACACTTTTTCCCCACTTACAGCGAACTGAACCTTGAGAAAACTGGTTGTCAGATGTTCAGTAACCTTGTGCACTGTACAACTCTTGTTTCTGCTGGACAAAACTGACATAAAAACAATAGTACTGCTGTGATGCTTTCCAACTCGAGTTTCTATAAAACTTGTTACTAGAAAAATGAAGTTAATTCTAATTTAGAAAAAGCAAAGAATTATTCTTGGACTTTCTGATTAATTTTATAAATGTACATTTAATATAGTTTTTACAATGCCAAGAAAATACTGTGTCTAAAAAGAGACAGTCTTACATTATGTGGCTGAGTTCACTTTTTGCTTTGCCCGAAGATACTCAGCTAAAGCAAGCTTACTTCTGTTTAGCTTTTCCCCCTAATGTGCTTAGTAAAAGAATGTTCACAGAAGAAGAAAATGGAAACCTGTGTGTTTAAACCCACAGGATATGTGCCTTTCTTTTTTTGTCTAGCTGGAAAGTGAGATATAGTTATGTAATTCTTATTCAAAAAACTATGCTGGGACATAGAGAAAATTACCAATGAACACAAAATTTTACCAGTTTTATATTTGAGGGAAGGAAAGCGATCTGGTGGGGTTTTTTCTCCTTTATTTTTTCTTCTCTCATTTTCCTCCTTTATTTTAAATACAGGTTAGGACTATTTTAAACAAAATTATGTCAGAAGATAAACCATATCAGCAAGCTATAGATAATGGGCATTTCATTCGTATTTAAGTTTGTATGTTTATTATCTATAATTTTATTTTTATGTCAATAAATGGTTTTTCTTTGAAAGCTGTTTTATCTTAGTTGTTCTCTCATTGCTGAGACATAATATCCAACATCCACAGTTTAAAATGCAAAAGGATTATTTCAGTTCACAGTTTGTAGAGGTTTCAGTCCATAGTTGGCTGGCTCCAAGGCAGGACGCCATGGCAGAAGAGAATTCCCCAGGACATGGTGGCAGGCAGCAGAGAGCTCTAGAGACAAGGGAGGGACATCTGGCCTTCCAGCACACGCCGGTGACCGGCTACTTCCAAGCAGGCTTCACCTCCCAAATCACGTTTGACTATAGAACATGCCCCACGATCTGGTGATTTTCCCGAAGCCTCACCTATGAGCACATCTGGATATAAACCATAACATTGTTCTTACACTGTGGCATTAATGCCTAATCCTATGGTGGTAAACCTAAACGACCCATGTTATTTGTTTAAGATAAAAAATGTTAGCATATGAGTTGTTTTTTTCTAAACGAAGACCTCAATATTCAGGTTTCATTGCAGTGCCGACACTTTTCAATAAGTAAGTGGGTTTTGGGTTGCAGTTGGGGCACTCGTCTCTAAAAGGTTCACCATCACTGTCCTAACCTCTTCCACAAAACCACCTCACAATCCTATTGGTGTAGTTCTTAAAAGGCGAAAGCAGTACTTGTGAATGTCATATTATTAGTCTCCAGACCTCAAATCCCTCAAAATGGAATGTTACAAAGAAAATATAGTCTTCTTCTTGATATTACTTTATAATCTGATCCTTTTTTTTAAAAAAAAATGTTATTTACTTACACTGAGTTACTGTTTTGGGAGGGGATACTGGAATTGGGCCCAGGGCCTTTTATTTTTTTTAGAGACAAAGTTTCTTTCTTTCTTTCTTTCTTTCTTTCTTTCTTTCTTTCTTTCTTTCTTTCTTTCTTTCTTTCATCTATCCTTCCTTCCTTCCTTCCTTTCTTCTTTTTTTTTCTTCCTTCCTTCCTTCCTTCCTTCCTTCCTTCCTTCCTTCCTTTTTTTTTCTTTCTCTCTTTCTAATGGTAACAAGTTTTATTAATGGTAAGGAAAGAAACAGGCTCTGCAAAGCAAGTTAGGGCCAACTAAGGTAGAAAAAGAAGTACACCCTAGCACGTGACGGCAGGCCACCATGCAAGAGAGAACGCAGGGGCCTAGACACGGGGCCCTGCTATGTCACTAAGTTGCCAGGCTGGGCTCAGACTTAAGATCTTGCTGTCTCAGCTTCCAGAGTGCTGGGGTTACAAGCATGTGCCACTACACCCAGGTTAACCATTTCGTAGGTATCTCTTGTGTCCAAGTGTACCACCTAGTGCTTCTGAAGAAAATTAAGTAGGACATGGGTCTAGCCTAGCCTTCCCAGAGTCTCCTAGGAGCAGAAATCAAGCAGGAAAAAGACTTTTGAAGATATTTCAGGAATAAATTCTAGCATGTTTGTTTACTGAGGAACTTTTTAATAAGCAAGTTTACAAACTTTCAGTGTAGTGCTTTATTCAAGAAAGCAGCAACTCAGGCCTATCTGAGTTACACTGAAAGCTTTGAATGTGCCTCCATTTCACAAGTGAGACCTGATAACATGGTGGAAGCTCTGACTCATGGGTTGGCTTGGCTTTCAGTTACAGCTTCCTTCCTGGCCACCATAATGGGTGTGAGATTTAAGAGATCCAAGAAAGTAATGCCCGCTGGGCTGGTTGCAGGTTTAAGGTAAGAACTCTTTTGATCTGTACTCTTCTTCCATCATTTTGAAGTACTGATTTTTTAAACCGAAAACTAGTTTTGATTTGAAAGGTCAGAGTAATTTTTTATTATAAGACACATGGCTGTGAAGACGGATCAGCAGTCACTGAGTCTTCGGCCTGTGTGTGCGTGGCACCCTTACGGGATGGCCTTGGTGTTGCTGTGGGATCAGCTTGCTGTTCCACCCTCACCTGCTTCAGAGTAAAGAGCTACATTTCGCCTCATTTTTCTTTAATTCACCGGAAGGAATAAACATGTTCGTAAGTCTCATTTGGAGAGTTGGACAATGACAGTCTGATGCTATTGTTTTGAATGTTAATGGAGAAAAATTTAATACTTTTTCAAAGGTATATAGCCTCGTTTCTCTTAATTTGACCCAGTAATTCTATTCATGAGATTAAGTATATTATCAAACATAAACTTGGAGATAATATTTTTAATTGCTCTTGGAAGCTGCCTTTATATGTTGAAAACCATAAACCTACTCATTTTCTTTGATACGCATTTTTATTTTTTGGAATTTGTTTCAAAGAAGTGATATGTACGTAAAGACTGATATTCATTGCAACTTTATTTTTTTAACTTTATGTTTAATGGAAAACGTAAACCGAAAAATTAGGAGCACCCTAGAAATTCACTATTAGGCAATAGTTCAGTAAATATTTTGCAATAAATGTTTTGTCCATTTAATGAAACATTGAGCAGGTATTTGCACTCCATTCTTCCAAAAACTATTTAGAGGCATTAGAAAACCTTAATCACATAATGATAAATAAGACAGGATTAAAGCCTATTAAGTGCAATGTGAAAGTTTTTTTAAATGTGTATAAAGCCTAGGGATGTTGGTACTTGGGAGGCTGAGGCAGAAGGATTGCTGCAAGTTCAAGGCCAACCTGTGCTACTTAGTTCAAGGCCTGCCTGAACTACATAGGAAGACACCATCTCAAAATAAAAATAAATAAGTAAATATGTCTGGGTATAAAATAAAATAAAAAGGAAATGCTTTACACTGTTAGTATTTTTTCTCTGGGTTGTTGCATAGTGAATAATTTAAATGTTCTTTCTGTTTTGCTGTACAATTTTTTAGTGTGGATTTGTTATGAGAGGGAAAAAAGTATGATTACAAAGGAAATCTTCCCATTAATGACTCTTGGTGTTGGGAAGATTCAGAAGTATAGTGTATTGACTAAGAAGGCCTCGGGCAGAGGAAAGTAGCTGCAACTGTAATAATAGCAGCCTTCCTATGGGCCCCTAGTTATTCCTGGATATTTATTTATTTATGGTGATACTGGGATTTGAACCCAGGGCCTTTCTTTGCACTGAGCATGTCTAGAACCCTCGCCACTTAAAAATTTTAGTATTTAGATGAGGTCTCACTAAGTTGTCCAGCCTGGGCTCAAACTTGGGGTCTTTCTGCTTCACTCTTCCTTGAGTGCTGGGATTACCCCACCATGCCCAGCTCCCTGAGTTTTTTTTGTTTTTTCCAAGTTGCTTTACTTGACAAGCTTTTGAACGTTGGTGTTTCTTCCCAAATACACCTCTCAAAATCCTCATCCCAGGTTTCCAGAACAGTGAGTTGTTTTCTCTCATTCATTCAGTGAAGCTTTTTCAGTTGGGTCTGGGCAGTCGGAATACAGGGATGGCGGGGTTGCTCCTGCTGGAGAATGGAGGGAAGAGAGCTGCAGAAGCCATGGCTGGATTGCGGCTGGTTGTCCTGTGTGACCCTCTGTCCGGGCCAGGTAAGAGTGACCCTTTCTTTGCCCCTGTTTTATTTGTGTGCAGCCTCTTGATGATCCTAAGGCTTGTCCTGCTGCTGCTCTGAGCGTCCAGAGGAGCCGCACTCGAAGTGCTCATCATTCCATGACGACGGGCAGAGCATATTCTTTGGACCTTAAAGGATAATTCCAACACACAATGTTAAGTGTTTTATGTTTGAAACAAAGGTAACACTGTCATCTTAAATCAACAGGAGTTTGAGTTTTTTTTTAAACGTAGAACTTTTAATTGTTTGTAATTGTCAAGCACTGTTTCCATTAAAGGTATTTAATAAGTCATGATATACTTTCATTTGCTGTGTCTGATACATATATCTATAGCTATACCTCTCTCTATATATATTATATATTGTTTAAATTTTATTTTAAAGGGGTAAAATTAAACGTAACACAACAGAACAAAACAGGTCAGAAGAAAACAATGTAAGAGACACAGAGTGCTGGGGTTACAAGCATGACACAGGAGATCATCACTGGCTATCACATTGTCTCTTGTTTTTTCTAAATAGTTGTCCGTATCTTCACACATAATGAATTCATACAAAACAAAATAGTCTTAGACTGATCAGAACAGGATGATCAAGGCAAGATCTTCAAAACCAGATGGTAGGGAAGTCAACAATGGCAGTCTTTGTGTCTCTTGTTCTCTTCAAAATACCTATCCATACCTTCATGTATGTTAAAGTTAAACAATACAAAACAGACTAAAATCACTCAGAACAAAGAATAATTGCTAGATTTTACAGTATGACGCTATGGAATCAGCACTGGGTATTTAAGAGTTTCTTTTGCTTCAAAGTAGCTATTCATTTCGTCATGCATTACGTAATCAATTTTCATGAACTGTTAAGGAGAAGTTCTATACATGCATGAGTCTTTACATGCATACCTATCCTTTTTGTGTTAGACGGAAAAATAAACCAAAACAATATAAAAGAAATTCCTAGAAAAACAGGAAACGAAAAAGACACAATAACAGAGAGCCCCAAACACTGACAATATAGGCCTTCAAAACAAGATGGTATGAACATCTCTAGGGTAGTTATTTTACATAATGATCTTCAAGAGGTCCTCTGATCACCATACAATAATATGCACAATTGTTCCAATCCTATGAATGTTAAGTATTTTGTATCAAGAACTTATAGAATCTGTAGCACAACCATCTTAGCTATCCTGTGTGTTTATGTAATTTTAGATATTTTTCTTTTCTCTTTCTTTTTCTTTTTCTTCATTTTCCTTGAGATATTATTTTCCCCCTTTAAGCAGACCCTTATCCTTTCACTATATTTATTGACTTTTTTATATCTTATGTACTCATACCATTTATTACACTTGGGAGACTATTGTATTTACACATGTGAGTTTGATTTATTTCACTTATGAATATGGTTTCGAGATGTATCCATTTACTTGTAAATATCTTAATGTGATCTTTATTTATAGCTGAGTAGTACTCCATTGTATAAAAATACCATATCTTTTTTATCCATTCCTCAGTTGATGGCATTTAGGTTGTTTCCAACATCTGGCTATTAGAATTGTGTTGTTAAAAACATATATCACTGTGGTATGACGTTTTCAGTCTTCTGTGAATATGCCCAGAAGTGAAATAGCTGGGTCAAATGGAACTTCCAATCCCAGCTTAATGAGGAATCTCCAGACTGACCTCCACAGAGGTTACACCAGTCTACACTCCCACCAACAGTGCAGGAGAGTTCCTTTTCCCTCTGTCTCTTCAGCGTTTGTTGTTGGTGGTTTTCTTTTTTTTTTTTTTTTTTTTTTTTTTTTGTCTTTTTTCGTTTTTATCGGTACCAGGGATCGAACTCATGACTGCCTGCTTGCAAGGCAGGCGCTTGTGCCGCTGAGCTAAATCCCCAGCCCTGTTGGTGGTTTTTTTGATCCTAGCTATTCTTTCTGGAGTGAGATGGAATCTCAGTGTGGTTTGAATTTGCATTTCTCTAATGAGTAATGATGCTGAACAATTTTTCATCCATTTATTTGTCATTTGTATTTCTTCATCTGAGAACTGTATTCATCTCAGATGCCCATTTTTGGATCAGGTCTTTGAATTTTGGGGATGTAATGTTTTTAAATTCTTTATATGTTCTGGAGAGAAGTCCTTTGTCTTGAGGGACAGTTTGCTAAGATTTTTTCCCAATTTGTGGGTTTTCTTTTCACTATGCTGGAGATTTCTCTTGCCGTGCAAAAACTCTTTAGTAATATGGGATCTCAGTTACTGATTCTGTGAAGTGTTTCACATACGATTTGATTCCTGTTCATGAATTCTCTACCTACCCCTATGTCTTCAAGATTTCTACCTACTTTGTCTTCTAACACATTTAGTGTTCCTGTTTTAAAATTTAGATCCATTTAGACTGTAGTACATGGAGATAGGCATGGGTCTAGTTTTAGGTTTCAGCATATGGAGAACCAATTTTTCCAGCACAATTTATTAAAGAGACTATCTTTCTTTCAGTGGACCTCTTTGGCCCCTTTATCAAAGATAAGGTGGCTGAGTATGTTTGTAGTTGTATCTTCTAATCTATTCCATTGATCTTCAGGTTTGTCTTTATTCCAGTACCATACTGACTTTAGTACAGTAGCTTTGTAGTATGACTTCAAGTCAGTGATTGTGATGCCTTTTGTCTTGCATTTGTTGCTTGGAACTGTCTTTGCTATTGTAGGTCTCTTCTGGTTCCAGATGAATTTTAGGAGTGATTTCTGTAGATCTGTGGGGTATGCTAGTGGTATTTTGATTTGGGATTGCATTGAATCTGTATAACAATTTGGTACAATGGCCATTTTCACAATGTTTGATCTTCCTATCCATGAACAAGGGATGTCTTTCCCTTTTCTGAGGTCCTTGTTGATTTCTTTTTCAGGGCATTATACTTTTCCCTGAATAGATCTTTGCTTCATTTGTTAGATTAATTCGTAAGGATTTCAATTTTTTGGGTGCTATTGTGAAGAGTGTGGCTTCTCTTATTTTTCACTCAGTGGTTTTGTTTTTAGTGTCTAGGAATGCTATTGATTTTTGAGTGTTGATTTTGTATCCAGCTACATTACTGAATCTATTTCTTATACCTATGAGTCTTTCAATGGAGTTTTTGGGGTCTTCTAGGTAGAGTACCATGTCATCTGCCAATAATGGTCATTTAACTTCATCTTTTTTTAATTTCTCTTTCTTGTCTAATTGCCCTTGCTGGTATGTCCACCACTATATTGAAGAGGAGTAGTGATAATGTTCCTGCTTTTAGGGTAAAGGCTTTCCTTTCAGTTTTTGGCTGTTTAATATGATGCTGGCTGTTGGTTTTTCATAGGTAGCTTTTATCATATTGAGGTAAAGACGATCTATTCTAATTTTCTGTAAGGTTCTCTCATGAATAAGTGTTGGACCTTATCTAAAGGTTTTTGTACATCTATACAAATGATTATGTGGTTCTTATTTTTGGCTCTGTTGATATGGTGGATTACATTTATTGATTTGCATATGTTGAGCCATCCCTGCATTCCTGGGATGAATCCACTTGATCATGGTGTATGATCTTCTTGATGATTTGCTGCATCCTGTTTGCCAAAATTATATTGAGAATTTTTAGATCTATGTTCATTAGGGAGATTGGCCTGTAGTTCTCTTTTTTGGTTGGGTCATTCTCAGATTTTGGTATTAGAGTAGTATTTGCTTCCAGGAATGAGTTAGGGAAAATTGCTTCCCTTTCAATTTCATTGAAGAGTTTGAGGAATGTCAGTTTAAGTCTTCTTTGAATTTCTTGTAGAATTCCACAGTGAATTCTTTTGGACCTGGGCTCTTCTTTGTTGGTAAGGATTTAATTACATTTTCAATTTTGTTAATTGAAATTGGGTTATTCAGCAGTGTTAAATCTTCTTAACCCAGCTCTGATAATTCATATGTTTCTAGGAATCTGTCCATTTCTTCTGTGTTATCAAGCCTACGAGAGTAGTTTTTTGAAATAGGTTTTGATGATCTTCTATATTTCTAAGGGTCTGTAGTGATTTCACCCTTTTCATTCCTTAGTGCATGAATTTGAGTTTTTTGTTTCCTTTTTTAAAATAAGATTAGCTAGGGGCTTATCAATGTTATATATTCTTTCAAAGAACCAACTCTTTGATTCGTTGATTCTTTGTATTGTTTTCTTAGTCTCTATTGCATTGATTTCTGCTCTGACCTTTATAATTTCATTCCTCCTTTCTTTTGGCTTTGGCTTGACTTGCTCTTCTTTTTCTAGATGTTTGAGGTATAGCATTAGGTTGTTTATTTGTGTTTATTCTGTTTTCCTGATGTGGGAATTCACTGCTATAAATTTTCCTCTGAGAACTGCTGTTTTCATTGCATCCCACTGGTTCCAGTAAGTTGTATTTCTATTTTTGTTTGTGTATAAATATTGTTTAATTTCTTCTTTAATGTCCTCCATGACCCACTGATTGCTCAGGAGTGTATTATTCAATTTTCAGGTGTTTGTGTGGTTTTTGCACTTTCTTTTGTCATTAATTTCTAGTCATGGCACTATGATCCATAATATGCATAGGATAATTTAAATTCTTTTGCATTTACTTAAGTAAATGTTCTATGGGCTACTATATGGAGTATTTTAGAGAATGTTTCATGTGCTATGAGAAGAATGTATATTCTGATGTTGTTGGGTGGAACATTCAATATACATCTACCAAGTCCATTTGTTCACAGGTGTGATCAGTTCTGTTTTTTGTTTGCTGATTTTCTGTCTAGTTGATCTGTCCCTTTGTGTCAATGGCATGTTAAGGTCTCCTGTTATAATTGTGTTATTGCTTATTTGATTTTTCATTTCTGTTAATATTTGTTTTGTATAGCTAGGTGCTCCCAAATTTGGTGCATATATATTTAAGATTGTTATCTCTTCCTCTTGAAGTTTTCTCCTAATTAGTATGTAGTAACCTTCTTTATCTCTTTGGATCATTCTTGGTTTGAAGTTCAGATTGTTTGCAAACAGAATAGCTATCTCTGCTTTTGGGGGAGGGGAGATCCTGTTGCATGGAGCATTGTTTTCTATCCTTTGACTTTTGGTCTGTCAGTTTCCTTTTGGGTTAAATGGGTTTCCTGTATACAGCATATGGTTGGATGTTGTTTCTTGATCCATTCTGCCAGGCATTTCTTTAAATGGGTGTATTGAGGCCATTTACATTAATGGTTATAACTGATATATATTGGTTTCCTTTTGACATGTTATCTTTCTGCTGTTGATTCTTTACCTTTCCACTGTTTGTTTGCCTTCCTTAGT